GGGTTCTTAGAATATCAGAATTAACAACCCCCTGGTTAATACTTTCTTTATTTTCGCCGAAATTGATTAATTTCAGACAATGTTCAAATCTGTATAACATATATATCCATAGGGTCATTGGAGGCTTATATCACTGAACTAATAGTAGACTGGATATAGCTTCTCTAGGTGTGAAAAGTGAAGCCAAATTATATATGCGAAAATCACTTCCGGGGACCACGGAGTGATACAAATTACTATATAAATGTATGGCGAACAACGTGAACCAAGGTGAATTTTTCCAAATTTGAGATACGTTGCGAAGTTTTACCAAGCTGATCGCTCCACCGTGGGTAAAAGATGTTATGTTAATGGTTTTAAAACGAAAATTATCCAGATTGCCCTAAAATATTGTCAGTTTTGTTCGTTCAAAGTTCCCCATGTGGGAATAATATTTTATCGCCACAGTGGTATGACAGCACAATTTCTAGTTTGCTTTACAAATACGGAGAGAGAATATGATCTACTATACTCAAGCATACTTTTAAAAGAAAGTTAGTAGTTCATTTTGTCATTTATGTTTACCTTGATCGACCAGAGGGTTTCAAATTTTCAATTATCCATCTTACTATAAAGCCTTTTTACAAAATATATAGACATGTCTTAGTTGGTACTGTAAAAGATATTTGTACTTTTAGTACTTTTTTATTTGTTATTCTGTTAAACTGGAAGGCAACCTTAATGAAGCTTTCTGTAGAGTGAATCTACTTTAATAATGAAGTTGAATTTTGAATTAGAACAACAAAATTGATTTAAAATGTGGGGTGTATTTATCATTCAATATCTAATTGAGTATAAATATAAGAACAAATATAAAATATATTCAAAGTTAATTTGAAATAATAATCTGCTTAATTAAACCTCAACCACTGATGGACTCAACTCATTGATACCAAAGTAAAATTGTCAGGCAACTATAGGCAGTGTGATATTCTGACAACAGAAGATAAAATATACATGCTTTTTTAGGTTACCTTGGCCAATTATTGATGAAATTATCTTTAATTTAAGTTTCTAATTGTCTATACTTCAAAAGCATGGTTTCCATGACAGGTTGTGCTGTTTCGACAATGTCAAGAAACCCCAGGTGACAAAACACAACATTTGAACCAAGGCATGAGAAAGTCCGGCAGCATGCAGCCAGGAAATTTTTTTAATCTCACAGGAATTTTTTAAGGAAATGCAAGATATCAAGAATGAAGCTCGAGAAATTTCTCTCTGAGAGCAATAAGCGCAAAAGCCCTGGGTATGAGGTTGAAATCAGCATTAAAGTCATCCTGGGTACGAGGTTGCATTAAAGTAACAAACATCACAATTAGAGCATAAATACAACAATCATATCATAAAAATTTGTATCATGTGGCAGTGATATATACAACTGTCTGTTATCATGATTCATGATTATGATACATGTGGAAAACAAGGGTGTACTACTATTATTGAATAGTGCATGAATACTGATATAAATTCAGATTTACAATCTGAAAACAAAGTTCAAATATTGTTTCATGGAATTGCTTCATGTTCCTAATTCTAGTAAACCTATGTTTGTTGAGGTAGTATATGACTAATTAGTAAGGTAGTTTAGTATTTTTGCACAAGGGAACATAACAAATCGTGCATGTTGATTGGTCAAATCTTTGTCTCAGTGAATATTCCCCGACTAATCAGTGAATAATTTTTAAATACATGACGCTGTTATTGAATTACAACCAAATTCGAATTTATAAAAAAATTGGCAGGAGATTTTTGGTCTGGGAAGTCTGCTGCCAGGAAGAAAAATATTTTATCATTAGGCTTGATTTGAACTGCAACCAGTTTTTCTTTTTTGAATATCCCTGGGCTTGGGGTGTGTATAAACCCACAGGCACATGTATAGGGTGTTCCAATAAATGTCCCCTCTGTTGTTGGTTAAGTACTATAAAACCTAGTTTCCATATGGTCGTAACTCATAAAGATTGAGTCACAATCTTTCTCATCAGCCGAAATGCAACATTTTAGAACTGAAAATATGCAGAGTGGTTAGAACTAGTGAATACTTATGATTTATATGTGGTTTACATGTATAAACTACTATATACTGACTGTTGAGAAAATTGTGACTCTATTTTTATGACCGTTATGACCATATGGAAACCAGGCTTTAATCATAGTATTAACCCATTAAGCGCCAGCGCTCTCCCCTTGACGAGTAAAATCGTCTGGCGTTAGACAGAGTAAAATACTAAAGTAGGGTGCATCAGGGTGCAATGCGACTCAATGGGTTAACTAGACACATGGGCAGATAAGCCAGTTAACCCATTAAGCGCCAGCGCTCTCCCCTTGACGAGTAAAATCGTCTGGCGTTAGACAGAGTTGGGAGTTTGGTGGGAGTTGCTATGCTGGGAGTTTGGTGGAAAAGCCCCAATGGATATTTTACAATAGCAAACGTTTATATATAAAATATGACTGATCAAAATTAATGAACAATAGACTCTGCCTCTCAGCCTCTGCCTCTCAGCCTCTGGAGTCTCTGCACTATAAGAACAATAAATCACACTCTGGCACTCTGCAACTGAAAGTTCAACATTCAACTGCAATGTAAAAGTAGATTCACTCTTACTACAGAAAGTTTCAATAAGATTGTCTTCCAGTTTAACAGAATAACAAATAAAAACAAGTACTAAAAGTACAAATATATTTATTACATATCTTTAGAACTATTTAATAATTGAAAACATCTACTAACTACTGTATATATATTTTGTAAAAAGGCTTATTTTAAGATGGATAATTGAAAGTTTGAAACTTTCTGGCCGATCAAGATTAAACATAAATGATAAATGAACCACTTACTTCCCTTTAAAAGTTTGCTTGATCATATTCTGTCTCCGTAATTGGAAAGCAAACTAGAAATTTTGCTGTCATACCACTGTGGCGATAAAATATTACTCCCGCATGGACAACTTTGATCGAACAAAACTGACGATATTTTACGGCAATCTGGATAATTTTCGTTTTAAAAGCATTAACATAACATCTTTTACCCACGGTGGAGCGATTAGCTTGGTAAAACTTCGAAAAGTATCTCAAATTCGGGAAATTATATAGTCGTTTGTATCACCCCGTGGTCCCCGGAAGTGATTTTCACATATATAATTTGGCTTCACTTTTCACACCTAGAGAAGCTATATCCAGTCTACTATTAGATCAGTGGCTTATACCAAGTAGTAATCAGAAGAAATTATTTCAATCGTTATAAAAATTTCATCTAATTAAAGTGCATATGACATGAAATTTCTTATTTTCTTAAATAAAAGAACTCCTTAAGTTGTTGTGTAACTTATTTTTCAGTTTCTTGTTTTTATGGTTTCTTCCCGAGATATTTCAATTTGTTTGATATGTAAATGAGTGTGAATATGTTAGCTAATTTATGACGTCATGTTGGTTGCAAGCTCTACAAAATGGTTGAAAATCACTGCTATTATCCAAGATGATAATTTCAAACTTCACACACTGATAAATGTCGGATGAAACACTGGAAAAAAACGTGAACTGATATCAACAGTTTTTAGAGTTAATACATTTATAAGCAGTGTAAGTTGAGCTTGCAACCAACATGACGTCATAAATTAGAGGACATATTCACATTCATTTACATATCAAACAAATTGAAATATCTCGGGAACAAACCATAAAAACAAGAAACTGAAAAATAAGTTACACTACAACTTAAAGAGTTCTCTCATTTACGAAAATAAGAAATTTTATGTTTTATGCACTTTAAGATCAGATCAGCGTAATTAAGATCAGATCTAAGGCAATAATTGATTCTATTTCTGATGAAGACGCCGATCGATACCACCCCCAGATCTATTCCTATCCTTGAAAACCCATTTGTAATGTTACAACACAAAGTTTAAAAATTAATGTGCTCTGTTTATGCCAGTAAGTTTCATAAATATATATTTACAGCTAAAATTTTGAAAAGGCAATAAGATATTTTACCTATCCATTTTAGTGCAGCTATAAAGCAGGACCGCTGGTCAAAAACCACGCAATCCTATTTTTGTGACCAGTGGGTTTCGTCAACTTTCTCAAAACTAGAAGAATACTATATACAAGGTTCTGTGTTTGAGAGAGGGAAGCTAAGGACGATTTACGGTACATGCGTCTTTGAGTGTTGCTATTGTATTTACAGCTGACGCGTTTGTTTGCAATGTACTGCAGTGAGTGCGATAATAACGAGTACTTAATTACTGTACGCAATTAATCAATTGAGCATTAGATGTACCAAACATCCAAGTAACATATGTAACTTTACAAATACTCTTGTCCGTCTTTGTCTGTTGTTGTTGTCTATATCTGAAAAAGATGAAGAAGTTGTTTCTTCAACAACCAAGCTGTAAGGATTTAATGCTAACGTCACAACTTCATGTCTGAATTAAATGCTTCTTTTAAATTTTTTTTTTAATAATCACGATAGTTCCACAGTTTCCAAAAAGCATCCAAACTTTTTGTACTAAATACCGTAACTATCGCCCGCCTTTTCAATTTTGGGTATTTATAGCGTACTAGCATCTATTTTACGTCGACGCAAATAGTGCAATACTGAAAATCTCTATAGTCGGACTTTTACAAATTTGTTTTACATATATTTAATATGGACGAACAAAGATGACGACGGAGCGGGTATTACTTTTTTCAGAGGGGGAGGGTGCCAAGTTGGGTACCGTAGTTTCAACTAAGTGCAAACACGACAGGCAAAACGTGATCGAACTGATCACGGCAGTAAGGCACGAAAATATATGAAGTTAAAAGGTCTGAAAACTAGTGGAGCCCGGGCATACTCCCTAGAAAAAATGCTCCGAAAATTTGAGCCTGGGGGATGCCGTTCCTTGCACATGGACCGAATTGAGGAATTTAGGTGGTAAACATGCTGCAAGAAATTGTTTCATAATTCGTTTTGGTCAGTTTCTATTAACTGGTGGAGGCGAAAGGGCCGGCAAATTATCCTGACAATGGAGAAAGATCACGCTTTCTAACCAAATCATCAGGTGCTGAAGCCCACAAGTTTAAAAATATTTCATTGTCATTATTGATCAAATGTTGATAATATTATTGTTTATCAGTAGATCGTGTTTGGCTTAGTCTCCCCCCCCCCCCGAGGAAATGGAATGGAAAAATGAAATATAACTATACTATAGATTCAAAGTCTTTGAAACGATTGCATTCAGGTGCATACCTGCTCGTTAATAATACAATGTGCTATATCTTGACAATCGCGTCGATCCTGAGCATCGTGTTCCCAACACTCGAGCATAATTTCGTAAAACCGATCCGGGCAACTTTTAGGTTGACCAAGTCTTTTACCTTTTTGAAGATATGACAATATCTGAAATATGAAAGGTCAAAATATACGATTGACTTCCTCAACTTATCCTGTATATTTGCACTGGACAGTTTCGATTAACGGGTTTTGGTTTCATGCAGTAGATAAATTAAAGCGCGTGAAAATAAAAATAGACTAACTAAGAATGTTGCTCGATATACTAACGTTCACAAAATCCCTTATACACTGAGAAAAAGAATCTTAACTTACTGGAAAAGAATCTTAACTTATATATGCTATATGGACAAACTCGCGCGAACATACATTCGTGCCCGCGGGAATATGATCTAAACGCGCATTTCACGTATTGTGTAGAGTGTTGCATGTCAATTGCTGACATCAATAAACAATGCGCCACATCTCATTAATCTGTCAGGTAACCCATGTTCACATTTTGCTCTTTGTTTAAATTTTTTATATTTATCGAATTATGAGCGATTCATTCCGACAAAATCTGAAAAATAATTTTGTCCTGAAAGAAATTGCAATATCAGACGATTTAGTAATGAGTTTGAAATATTATCGAAAAATGTAGCTACCTGGCGCTTGGATATCAATTCATGATAGGGAAGATGGGAGATTTCTTCGTTGCTTTCATCGATATCTTTGTCAATGAGAGTAAATATTTCCCAGATCAAAACTCCAAACGCCCACACGTCACTAGCTTTCGAGTACATTCCATCAGTGATTACTTCTGGTGAACTCCTAAAAAGAACATAATTATAATGCTAACGAATAGAAACCAGCAAATAGGCTACTTGCAAGGATTTATTCAACTATATTTTTTGTACAAATGTTGAGGTATTTTCTGACGTTTTTTACATGTCATGGGGAAGATTAAAGTTACATTTCCTATTTTGAAAGAAAAACGATTCGGCAATATTGAATTTCTATTAATACGATAATTATAGTGCGCATACTATACCAGCTATGGTATTTTCAATAATTATTGAAAAAATAAGGAACTGACGTATCTTAGAAGGAATGTTCGAAACAATTTACCTACCATCTCAGAGAGTCAACAAACATTGAAAGATGAATCGGCATCGTCGACGACTTGTCGTCAACATTCGGCATCAGTCTTCTTACTCGGGCAAAACATGCCAATTTTGCCTATAGTAATATTAATTAATTTTAGTCATACTTTTCGTCAAATTTACAAGGGAGATATACTACAATGCAAGCATTGGAGAACATGCGTTTACTATAACAATTAAGAATAAGATAGATGTGATATCTTGTTTAGGTACGCAGCATTAAATGTAACAAAAAGTGAGATCGGCGTATATATAATATCACGAGCGAGAAAAATTACCCGAAGACAAATCGTTGTAAATGCTATCTTCAACATCTCAATCAATCTTGCTATAAATCGAATTAGCTAAATTTCTAGGCTAGAGAGGATAATATTTTCCGGTATCTTGCTCGCAAAAGATGGTCTAAAGAAGTAGGTGCGGTCTCCGTCCCAACTGATCGCAATTTCAAGAAATATCGTTCACTGAATCATAGATTAAGTAAGAACAGATGTGTAACTTCAGTAAAAAAGTTGTCCCACGGTCGCCATCTTCCTAGCAAGTGTCGCTCGCGTGATAATTCGTCATTTGGCAATACGTCATTGCTTTCAAAATGCTTTCAACACCTTTTCCACAACTTTAATTGCTTTTAACAACTTTGAACTTTGAACAAATGATGTTCTTGATTGTCTAATCCATAAATTTCGATCCAAAAAAGCCGCAATAATATGCAAACGTTCGTGTTTTCCAGGACGCCATCTTCCTAGCAAGTGTCATGGCGTGAGCATGACGTGTACATCTAGGGAAATTTGAGGACACGAATTCCTATTAAGTTACACATCTGGTATATACTTCATCTGTGACTGAATATATAGGGTAGTGGACATATTTTCAGCCACCATGAGAAGACTACGACATATTAGCCTTTCCATTCAAGCGTTACCCATGCAGCGATCAAAAGTTGTTTCGAGTTTTGCAACCAAGGTCTGCGGTTGGAGAACTTCACGTTTCACATGCCAAAATAGTGACAACATTTGCGTTTTACAAAGACCATTTTCTCTTTCATATTGAGTCAAGACAATAACAAATCCAAATCACAAATTCCTTTTTGCCACTTTTGCTTTTTTAGTATTTTTGTTCTATTTTATGATTAAAATGCACAAACTATTCAATTGTCAAACGAAAGCTAAAATATTGTCCTATAGTAACTTTAGTTTCGGTCGAGTATCGCAGACTTAAGCCTCATGCATGTCATCACTATTTTGGTATGTGAAAATAAAGTTGTCGAATTGCAATGTTGGTGGCAAATACAATTAAATATTCGGAAATAACTTTTTATCGCGGTGCCCACACGCGTCAACGCAAATAGTAATAAAACTAATTATATATTAATATTAAGATATCTGGCATTTCTCGATAGAACAAACAGCTTTTGTAGATGAACGTTTCGAGCGTAAGATTATATTCAATTTTTAGACCTAACCAGGAACAGCTTCGAAAAACGCAACTATAGATCCTGTGCAGGAATCGAACCTGGACTTTGTAGCTCAGTTGGTTAGAGTCGCAGAGCCACAGGTTCGATTCCTAGCAAAGACCCAAAATAGTTGCATTGATCGCAGCCTCTACTGGTTAAGCCTGGCATAATGTCTGGTTCACTCTGGTCGTAAGAATTGAGGATTTCCATTGTCTGTAGTCATTGGTGTGTAAAATGCTTTGTCTGTCGGAAAAGAATACAATAGATCGCCGATGAATTACGACCAGTGTCGGAACCAGGCTTTAGGTATAAAAATTGCATATAATTGTCTGGTAGAAATTTCCATCTACAAAAACCTTCAACTGTTAGTTATATTAATGTAGCTAGTAAAGACCAAGTTATATTCTCATTTTATAGTCTTTCTGTCGACACAACGTACCAACATTTTTAACCGCGTTTCCAACAATTGAAGACTTGACTTACATTTCCATTCGAGTAAATAAAGACAGATGCAGCTCGCAAATTTCGATGTATGAATCTTCTTTTGTGTAAAAACGATACAGCATCTACAATTTGTAAAAGGTACATCATAGCGTTTTCCGTCTGACATCCAAACTCGCTGATAAACTCTTCCAAGCTGTTCATATCACCAACTTCTGTGATCTTAAAAGAAATACCGTTGTTAATAACTAAAATTAGGAGTAGATATAATTATGATAAATTACATTGTACAATCATCCAAGTACGTCGCGATCGGCTTAATATTAGGCCTATACCATTGGTTGGTAACGAAACAACTGATAAGGGCTATTTCCTCATATAAGAGCTAAAGAATATATGCAAAGGAAGAGGAGAACATTTATTTCAAATAATATTAGCCTACTAAAATGTAATTTATGATTCCCCTTATTACGTTTTTAATTTGTAGGTGCTTTGCATTCTGGTTATGGTGGCATCACTGATAAAGATAGCGGCCTCGAATGGAAATATTGAATGTTTTCGCGAATATTTTGCAGTTGACTATTGCGCACCAGACCCTAGCTTTTTTAAAAGTTCTTCCACGGGTCAGGACGAAAAATAAGCCATCTTGAATACCAGTGATATCACTATAACCACAATGCAAAGCGCTGTGAAAATGTAATATGGGGAATCTAGTATTAAATCTTACCAATTCCAATTTTTCATCATGGGCAATTTTGTCGGTAATAACAGCCAGTGAACGAAATTCGAGTTCAGATAATTTGAGGATGTCAGATGACGATGCAGGGATAAATTCTTTGATAAAATGATTCTAAAAATTTATGATAAATTATTCTAAGAAACGTAATTGCTGCCAAGCGTGAGCGAGATATATATAATATCGATTCCTGTAGCATTAAATCGATTATTACTCGTCACCAGCTTTCTGGCTGAGCAATGTATATACAGTCGAACCCCTATTAACGGACTTTCTCTCTTAAACGGACATATACCTCCTGTCCCAATGATTTCTTTAATTAAAAATAGCATCATCATTTTCTCTATTTAGCGGACCTTCCATTAATTAAGCGGCATCATGCAGACACTTAACTAGCTTGAGGTCCCAATGAGCCAATAACCTCTCTTAAGCGGACAAACGTAAGTTATGAATGTAAATACGCTAAAATAAATGTTCATATCAATTGGATGGTTAAAATACAGCCATTGTATACAATTCGTCAATTTCTACTGTTAAATTGTAAATAATCCAGACTGGGTATGTTGTTTTGACTATATGTATATAAATTTCCACTCGATATTTTCCGTCTACAATACCCTTCAACTATTCAATCGAGTCAGATGCCAACAATATCTTGATGTATAGGACATATACCCATATATAACCTATACATGGCAGTACCCTAGTATATACATGAACTTGTGTTCATGCAGAGTTCGACTACTGGCCTCTGTAGCTCAATTGGTTAGAGCTCTGCACCGAAATCGCATGTCAGGTTCGATTTCTGCCAGAGACTTAAACTTGCATTTTTGAAGCTGTTGTTGGTTAGGTTTTACTAATAAATGTGTGTAAATATCCACTCGATAATTTATATATATTTAAATAGTACATATATATGAAAACCTAGTGCTCGAGCATCATTGTAACTCATGACCTCATATCCTGCAATCGTTATTGAATTTCTCTGAAAGCGTCCCACTTAGTGTTTATCCTATAAATACAACCTTATATCACATATAAATGAATCGAACAATACACTTACATCATCAACATTCAATAGCATAGCAATGTCGGAGGCATTTAAGCAGTCTCCAAAACAACCGTCCGCGATACAACCAGTACGTAGATTGTTTTGCGGGTAATTCTAAGGAATGTCGAACAAATGCATTTTAGTATAAAGTTACTAAGAAACAGACCCCATTCAAATGCTCTATTCAATTAAAGATGTTATTTCCGCCGTTTTTGAAGCATTCCTACTAAGTCTGAAATTTTCATATGTGCAAATCATAAATGTTTTATTTTCATGAAAAACTGCAGCCATTCGTCGAAAATTAAGAACACCTATTTATTGGCTGTGTTATAAATAATCAGCGCCTATCAGAAAAATTCGGGGGCCCGGGACAAATTCTTGTTTTAGGGGCCCTATTTTTAAAAAACAATGTTGGCGAGCGGGGTTAAATTTTTCCGTACATTTAAAAAAGGGGTCTAAAAATTTTTCTGGTCCAACATCAGTTAAACTAAGGTTCAATTTTTTTTCCTTACAAATTCCTGTTACAACATGGGTCAAACCTTTTTGGGCGATAAATATTTGTAAAATTTTGGTTCAGAAAATTTTTTCATACCATTATTTATATCAAAAAACTTTCGAAATATTTTTTTATTTTGTAAATTTGGGGGGGGGGGGCTTAAACTGAGGGCCGGGGGAAATTTTTTCCCTTTGCAACCCCCCCCTCCTGAAAAGCTTCGTAAATAATTATAAAAGCGTTTTGTAGATCAAAATTTCGAATATGACTTGTATACATTTATTATTCACCTAACCAGGAACAGTTGCGCAACTGTTTGTGGTTAAGTCTAATAAATGGAAACATTCACAGTTGGACATTTCTGTTTACAATTTCCCTTCGACATGCGACAAGTTATATCGAGTGTAGATGCCCAAAATCCTGTGTTAAATAACTAAGTAAACTGACTTATACTTGTTTGTCTTTGTCAGCTTTTTATCGATTGCCTGTGGAATTTGCAGCATGAGCTCCACCTTTGAATTTACTATATGAGTAAATTCTTAAACACGTCCGAATTTATCATTATGATAAATTCGCGGCAAATTTTGAATTTATCATAATAATAAATTCGCGGCACCTAACACTAACCCTAACCCTAACACCAACCCTAACCACTAACCTCTAAACACTAACCCCTAACCACTAACCTCTAACCCTATCTTTTTTAGCTTTTTAAATTTTTTTAACCTTTTTATCTTTTTTAATAATCTAGCTTCTTAATTTAAACTTTTCTTGCTTTTTAAAACTCTTTTTAAACTTGTAAAACTTTTTTAAAAACTATATTTTTAAAAAACTTGAGAAACGCCCCACCCCCGCGCGGTAAGCCTCCTTTCAGTGCCATTACGTTTATAACAAGAAATCTTGTCTAATGCTTGTAGTTTTATGATTAACTCTATTGATAAATTCAAAATGTGCCGCGAATTTATCATAATAATAAATTCGGACGTGTTTAAGAATTTACTCATATAGTAAATTCAAAGGTGGAGCTCATGTTGGGAATTTGGGGAAAGACAAAGCAGAGTGTGAAATATGATCTATCCCCCCCCCCCCTTCCCACCCTCAAAGCGTGTTAAATTAAATCTTTTTGGTCCAAGGAGAAAACAATTATGAAAACGACGCAACATTTTGGATAGCGTTTTTGGATAACATGCATGCGTTTTCTCAATGAGAATTCTATCACAGCAAAGCACAGAACTTTCTTAGGCAAATATAATAACAATTTCGTAATAGCTTGACACCGCAACAGCTCCTAGCTGTTCTTGGCGAGGTTTTACCACTGAGCTGTATTATAACTGGAGGAACTCTTCCTATACTTCATTCCATCAACGAAGTGTCGCCAAAAACACGGCAGATTTTTATGAAAATTGACGCCATTTCCATGACAACACTTACTTTATTTTCATGGTAGTCACCACAGTTCTGATCTCACGGCAGTTTCCCCCCTCTCCCCCCTGGTTTTTCCAAAATAGTTTTGCAGCTAATATAGTTCTCGTTGTTTTGAATCCATTTTTATGATGTTTTCGAGATACATTTTATACCTTTGACCATTTGGTCAAAGATATGCAAGTCTGATGTTTTCGAGATACATTTTATACCTTTGACCATTTGGTCAAAGATATGCAAGTCGTACTTGCAAGTCGTGCAAGTTCACGATAAACAAATTTTAAAACCTCAAGAAATGTGGGAAAAGACGATACTTGAATGTGGATTTACAGAGGGTAAGGGACGTATTTCATATTCAATTATATAAATATCTTATTTGACATGAAATTGATAAGCATAACGATGAAACAACTTCCTACAGGGTAATACATATGGTAAAGTGTAAAGCTTCCCGCCGCTATTTTAGCAAGCTGTAATTCACGGTCGCAACTATTTGGTTACAAGCTACGAAGCTTACATTAAATGACATTCAATCATATATACGAGTAATACGACGGTATTTAAAGTGCGAACTGTGTTGTGTAATAATGTTTAAAAGGTTGACTCCTGAGATCTCGTTTTATATAAACAGACATAAACTATATCATCATGTGCTACAGACTATCTTTTAAATGAGAGAAATAGGTTTTGTGTTATGTACCACTTATATGTAGCTGGGGGAGCTGAGGCTTGGTTGGGGATACTTCTTGATATTTGTGTCATTATAGAGGCTTGAGATAAATCACACTTTTCCCTAAGCTGAGGTAGTAAGGTTTATTTAAAGCCTGAGGTGTGTGCTAAGGCATGCATGTGTGTTCACACCTCATTCCCAGGATGGCCTGTTTTCGTGAAGGTTTTCTCCGTAAATATCACTCTGAATAAACTATGAACCTTGATAAGTGCACTCATCGTTCTGATACCCCTGGTTTAAGCTGAGGAGTTTGGACACATTCGTTTGTTTGCCTTGGTCATATGCTAATTATGTTACTATATGTTACTATAGTTAATTAATATATTTTTATTTATTGCAGATTTATTCCAAAATGACACACTCCTTTCTGGGTGGCAAAATACAGTACCAAACCACATCTTTGGAAACTGAACATACAATTAAAGCTTGATTAATTGTGAACTACCGCATTTTAATACATGCTTCCCGAAATTCACCTTGGCCATAGGCTATAGAGTCTCATTTTCATGATTGAAACATTTTAATTGAAAAGAGGCCCCATAGCCAAAGTGACATATACATTCCGGAAGGGTGTATTTTGACTTTTTTGTAGAATTATTTTATATCCTCCGTTATTCAACTTTTATAACAAATATTTACTATGCTATATTATACATGTATACTTGCTCTCTGGGTTAGCGTCTCCTAATCCAATGTCTCGTGACCTAATCTTATATGTCAATCACTTCAGCTGATCAATCTGATCATCATATTGACTCTTACGACCTTACGTGACCTGACGTGGTGGCAACCGTTGGCAATTTATTGGCAAAAATTATATCTACTTTAAATATTTTTTCCATTTATTTCGTAAATTTCCAAAGCTAAGAATATTGTGATCATCAACTGACAATTTTTTGGTTCGTTTGGTATCTTCCAGTGGTTATAATATCAGGTTATACATTTGACCGCCTGATATACGAAGAGTCTCACAATTTGTAGACATCGCATTCTTCTGATTGCTTATTTGAATATCAACATAATAATTGTTACAGTGCTTGGCCTTGGTCCTTGGTATTGCTTCATACTATCCAAGTTATTTATTCTCAAAACATACTGTGTTCTCGCAATTATTTTCAATATTTCGCGTCTTGACCGTTGGGATTTGTTTTGACAGGGCTAACGTTTCGTAGCAACAGTAAATTTGAATTTTGCGCGTGACTTTGTGGCTTTATAACCTTTTATTATTTCAAGTTCTGGAACAGTAAACAATTCAAGGACTTTATTTTATTGTGGTGGCTTACAAGTTAATCAACTCTGCTTGATGCTAAACTGTTTGTTATCTATCGGCTAGTCTATACTATTGATTCATTTTCCTTCATTGGCGTGGTTTTCCCTGACATTGCAGCGAGATATAATCTCAAGTATCTTCCGTATTAATTACAAATTCCCTCAAGTGTCCATCGCACTTATCGACCGCCGTCTGCTAAATAATCTAATCAACAGAACGTTTAAATCGTACTTTCTCCATCATGATGCTGATAGATTTGATGAAGTTTTGCTGTAGAAACCTTTACCTCTGGTTATTTCTCTATATCTATATTACCTTATGTGGTCTTTATGTCCCAAAGAATTGTTATGTCCCAAAGAATTGTTCTAACTTGGTGCAACAACATGCTATTTTCTACATATGCAAGGAAATCGCAACAACCAATATCATGAGTCTAGTTAAGTACGGTTGTCGGCGAAAAAGGGAAAAACGAAAATCATTGCCGAATTCATCAAAGGTTTTCTTTGGGTGCCGTTTACTGCTATACGCAATTCTCGCAGTTCTAGTTATTTCTATATCTGGTGATGTAGAATCTAACCCTGGACCTGCATCGATTACTAATAGTCATCAAGCAAGTGGTTTTCTTCAATCTCGGGGTCTTAAAGTTGCACACCTCAATATCAGAAGTATCTACAATAAAATAGATTCATTAAAGCTTCTACTTAATGAAAAACCTTTTGATATTTTTACGATCTCTGAAACCTGGCTAAACTCTGATATAGCTGATGGTGAAATCTCTATTCCTGGCTATACGTTTTCCAGAAACGACCGGAATGGAAAATCTGGTGGTGGTACGTTAGCATTTGTGAGAGATGGCATCCCTTACAAAATACGGACAGACCTTCTGAGTAGCAATATCGAATCCACTGTTATTGAAATTACTCGTCCAAAATGCAAAAGCCTTTTTATATTCACAATCTATAAAGCCCCCGATCAATTGTTAGAGTCACTTACTGAAGAACTTGATACTGCATTGTCCTCTATTTCGTTAGAAGCTGAAGTAATACTACTTGGTGACTTTAATGTGAACTTTTTAGCTACAAAAAATGATGCTTCCCGAGCTCTTAAGCGAAAACTCCTAAGCTTTACCAGCATGTACAATCTTGAACAACTTATTGATAAACCAACGAGAATAACTGAGAACTCAAGTACATTGATTGATCTCCTATTCGCTAACAATAATCATCGAATAGTTTCCTCCGGAGTCCTACACGTAAACTTAAGTGACCATTCTCTCATCTACTGTGTTGTTAAAGCGGGTGTACGTAGAGCACCAGGAAGAGTCATAGAATACAGATCCTACAAAACTTATTCAAAGCAATCTTTCCTCGCCGATCTTGTGCATGTTAATTTCGATCTTATTGACGAAGAACAAGACATTAATGTCGCTGTAAGTAAATGGAATGAACTGTTCACAAATGTTGCCAATCTTCATGCTCCAATTAAGAAATTGAGAACAAAAGGAATCCAAACCCCATGGCTTACTACTGATTTAAGCAACGCAATGCAAGATCGCGACTACCACCACCGCAAAGCCGTTAAGTCAAATTCGCCCTTTCACTGGATGATGTACAAGAAGATTAAATCTTACGTCAACATAAATGTTAAGAAATGCAAAGCTGAATACTACTCGAACCTGATTAATACGAATAAAGGAAACACTAGTGCTTTATGGAAAACGTTAAATGACATCTCGTCCCGAAAATCTCACTGCTCGCCATCTTGTATTGAAGCTAATGGTGTTTCTCATACCGACCCAAAGTCTATAGCTGAGTCATTAAACGACCATTTCTCAAGCATAGGATCCAAATTGGCATCTAAGATAAGAAATTTGTATCCAAATCGGAATTCTATCAAGCAACCTAGTGAGTTTAGGGAAAATGAATTTGTTTTCCAGCCAATTGAAGAAAGTTATGTGTATGGTGTTCTGAACAATCTTAAAACCAACAAAGCTGTAGGCCTAGACAAAATCAGCGCTAGGTTACTTAAAGATTCTTCCAGTGTTGTAACTCCCATCCTAACCAAACTTTTCAATCGTTCACTCACTTCCTCAACATTTCCATCAACCTGGAAGTCTGGCAAAGTAACAGCGCTTTTTAAATCTGGTGACAAATCCAATGCTAGCAATTACAGACCAATCACGATACTCCCAACAATTAGTAAAGTTCTCGAGAAAGCAGTCCACTCTCAAGTTTACCGCTACCTTATTGACAATAAAATACTAACACCACGACAGTTTGGTTTCAGACGTAAACTTTCCACTGAGATTGCGCTTGCACATTTCACGGACACCATTTTGGCTAATATGGACAAGGGTTTAGTAACAGGAGCTGTTTTTCTTGACCTGGCTAAAGCCTTTGATACTGTCGACCATTCTCTTTTATTTGAAAAGCTTGCCTCATCTGGTCTCTCCAATGATTCTGTCAACTGGTTCAAGTCATACCTAAGCAATAGAAATCAACTTACCGCCCTGGCTAACACTGTTTCCTCCTTCAAACACGTTCCTGTCGGAGTTCCTCAAGGTAGTGTTTTGGGTCCACTACTATTCCTTATTTTTGTTAATGATTTGCCTTATTGTATCAACCATTGTGAAATATCCTTATACGCTGACGACACTGTGATATACCTTTCTTCAAACAATGCTTGCGATCTTGAAATGAAGTTAAATTCCGATCTAAAACACCTATGCAGATGGTTTAACGACAATCTTCTGACACTTAATGTCTCCAAGTGTAAATTTATAATTTACGGAAGTTCTCGCAAAGTTGCAAAATTTAACAATGTTTCCATCACGGTTAATGATCCATACTTGATAGAATTGACTCCTTCAAATACTTAGGAGTTACAATTCAACAAAACCTAACCTGGTCAGAACATATCGACAACATCAGCAAGAAGTTTAATCAACGCCTTGGTCTCATTCGCCGCATAAAATTCTTACTCCCTATTCAAGCCAGACTCACCCTCTACAACAGTCTTGTTCTCCCTCTATTGGACTACAGTGATATCGTGTGGGGAGATAAAAACAACTCCACTCTAATGAACCACCTTCAAGTTCTGCAACATAACGCTGCGAGACTTATCCTTGATCTTCCTTGCCATTCCTCCGCTACCGAAGCCCTTGAAACTCTAGAGTGGAAACCCCTTTATCTATGTCGAAAATACCACCGTTGTATCTCCGTCTATAAATGTCTTAACCATCTAGTCGACTTTGATTTTAACCTTACCATAATCTCCCGTATACATAGCCATAAAACACGCCAGAACAACAACTACTACCTCCCACGCCCACGTACGAATTGGGGAAAACAGAAATTCACTTATCACTCGGTATCGGAATGGAACTCATTACCTATTGAACTGAAACAATCTACTAATCTTAATCTCTTTAAAACCAAACTAAAACAATTTATCTAATTAAGTTGAACAATTTATCTAATTAAGTTTTTTTTTTTCTAACTATGAAGTATAATTATATTTTTCTAACTATGAAGTATAATTATATATAATCCATTTGTAAATATTTTATAGTTTTTAAATAAGCACAGTATAGTTTACCATGTATAATATAGATATATATTGCAGGACCTCCTTGAAAAACACTTCGGTGAGTGGAGCTTCCTGAATAAATATTATTATTATTATTATTATTATAATCAGCATTTGGATACAACATCCCTTCCTTAATTATAGTTATGAAAATATCAACCTTTAAAGTTTCTAAAGTCTCTAATTCTATGTAGTTCTTTACTTTGTAGTTCCGTTCTAAGACTTAGTGTCTTGGACTTACTATTACGGGGTTTCATTACCGTGTTCTTTAAAACTAAATAAATGTCAACAGTCTGCATTTTAAACTTGACTAACTTAACCTACTTTTAGATAGTCTGGTTGTTTTCTATTTCTCGTTGATCTACGTAGAACAATTTCCGTTCCTGTAGTATTCTGGTTGGTTTCTGTTTGAGTTGCTTCGGTGTTTTCTTCGCGACTTTCCGTTTGTCTATTATGCTTGCGATCACTCTGGATTTCTTCTTCAGGATCAGGAATTTCCTGGCATAACTTGACATGCGATGAGTTTCTGCGATGTTGTGTGCCATTCTTGTCTTTTAGCACTATCTGCGTGCCGTTTATTTTGGTGATTACCATTGGATCAGGATGAAACTTTGTCGTAAATTTGTTTCGATGTTTTTGAGTAACTAATACTTTATTTCCGACTTCAAGATTTTTTGGACTTGCTTTTCGCTTCTTGTCGGTATATTTCTTCGATTTCTCTTTCTCCTCTTCATCTTTCTTGCGAGTTTCAGTTTCATCGTTTGTCTGTTGTTCAAAACTAGGAAGTTTCGTCTTGACTTCTCGGTTCATTAGCAATGATGAAGGTGTTCTTCCGGTCACTCTATGAGGAGTATTGCGGTAGTGGAGTAGCATGATTGGAATGGTGGGTTTCCACGCTTTTCCTTCCGCCTGTGCGGTTAGGATGTGTTTCTCGAGAACTTGATTAAATCTCTCAACTTGCCCATTGGCTTGCGGCCAATATTCCGTCACAGTCTTATGTTCTATTCCCCAAGAAGTTAGTGTATCCTTGAACTCGGTAGAAACAAAGTAGGATGCGTTGTCGGACTTTATTTCATCTGGACATCCGTGATTTGCAAATACCGATAGTAACCAGTCGATAATGTTTTTGGACGTGACTAATTTTAAGATTTTGACTTCTGGCCAGCGCGAATAATAGTCAGTAAGGACAACTACTTGTTCTCCAGTGGGAAATGGTCCACATACGTCTATGGCTAGCTTCGACCATGGTTTCTTAGGAAGCTTAGTTGGTTCCATTGGCTCTGGTCGCGGGCTCTTACTGACAAGTTGACATGGATGACAGCATCGAATTCGTTCTTCAACCTGCTTGTCCATCTCTGGCCACCAATGCTTGGAGCGCAGTCGTTGTTTGCAGCGGACCATACCTGCATGACCCTCGTGTGCAAGGCTAATTGCTTGTTGTCTCAGCTTGTTAGGAAGAACAATGCGATCACCTCGAAGTAAGATATCTTGATCTGTGATGCAGAGCTCATGAGCGATGACCTTATATGCTTTCGGAAGTTTGTATACCGTACTTGATTATTTTGCAAGTTCTGTTTAATCTGTTGGAGTTCCGGATCTGCTAATGTTTCTCTTTGTATTTCTTCTAATTTCATGGCATTCGGTGTCTGTGCTTGTGTCATGTTATGAACATATCGGTCAGCGCAAGCCTCCATGTTGCTCCTCTTGCTTCCATCTTTTCCATCTTTCGGGAGTCGGGACAAAGGATCGGCCAGATTGGATGGGCCAGGTCGGTAGATAACGTGGAAGTAGTACTCTTGGAGTCGAAGTCTCCATCTTTCGAGTCTGGCTGATGTTGGTTTGCTTTGAAGCTTTGCCTTGTAGATATGCTCTAAAGGTCGGTGGTCTGTCTCCAATTCAAAACTACCTCCATATAGGTACATGTGAAAGTGTTCACATCCGAATACGATTGCTAATCCTTCTTTCTCTATGTGACCATAATTCTGTTCGACATCTGTTAGCGATCTGCTACCATACGCGATTGGTCGATAATTGTCGTCGGCTTGTTTCTGGATAAATACAGCACCCAGTGCCCATGGCGATGCATCTACTACGACTTTAGTTTCCGCAGTAAGATTGTAATGAGCTAATACCGGTGAAGTGGTGATGGCATTCTCTAGTGACTGGAATGCTTTCTCGTGACTGTGATCCCAGTGATACGTGACATTCTTCTTTGTAAGCTGTCGAAGTGGGAAGGTTAGGCTGCTGTAGTCGGGTATATATCTCGAAAAATAATTGGTGAGGCCTAGGAAGGATCTGACTTCCGATACTGTGGTAGGATGTGGAGCATTTGTTATGGTTACGACTTTGGTGCTATCTGGTCTGATTCCTTTCTCGGACACGATATGACCAAACACGTTTATCTGCGGTACTGCGAACGAACACTTTGGTAGTTTCAGTGTGATGCCATTGGTTCTCAGGATTGTGAGGAGCTGGTCTAGCCGCTTGAGGTGTGTTTCTTTGTCTTTGGACCATAGCCAAATGTTATCAGAGATGTTGGCACAATCTGGTACCTCTTTGATGAGCTCGTGGATAATCTCATGAAAGTGTTCTCCGGATGGTGACGCTCCCATTATCAGCCTGGTGAATCTATGCGGACCATCTTCAGGAGTTGAAAATGCTGTAATATGACGGGATTCCTCTGCCAAGGTCAGTTGAAGATAACCTTGCGACAGGTCAACCTCTGTAAGGACTTTTGCTCCCTCCATCATTTGAAGTATCTCGTTGACTGTAGGAATTTGTACGCGCCGTCTTACAAGTGCTGTGTTAGGTATACGCATGTCTAACACTAGTCGGAGGTCCCCACTCTTCTTTGGGATGGTTATCAACGGTGATAACCAAGGCGTTGCTCCCTCAACTTTCTCGATTATCCCTTCTTCTCTCATCTCCTGCAGCTTTTTGTTTACTTTGGTTTTCATGCTGTGTGGAATTTTTCGATTTGTTTGTGCGACCGGGGTTATTGTTGGGTCAATCTCGAGCTTCACTTCACGTCCCTTGAGGTTTCCCGTTCCTTCAAATAGCTTTGGATGTTTGTTGATAATGTGACGTACATCATGATCTTGTTGAACCGGGTTGAGGGTGTTGATGTTGAGGATAAGTCCCAATGAGGAAGATGATTCATATCCAAGATTACACTTAGATTTCTTTTGTGCTATATAAAACTTAGCAGTTTTGAATGTACCTGATGCTGAGGTGATGGTAGCTTGAAATTTTCCGGCTAACTCAAGTGGTGTTGGTGTTCCATATGCAAAGATTCTGGCATTGGTCTTTTGTAACTTGATACGGTTGTCGTCTTTCTGCATTTGTTGAAAAATTGGGTAGTTCAGAAGGTTAACAGAGGCTCCGGAATCAATCAGAATGTTTACTTTAGTGTGTCCAATCTGTACTTGCGTTTCTGGATGTTTACCCAAGCTTGTGTTGACAGTAAAAAGAAATTCATCGTCCGAGTCTTGAAGATAATCACAACTTTTCTCTTGGTTGACATGTCTGACATTTCCACTGTCCTTAGATTGAGATCTGCAATATTTTGCAAAATGATCGATTTTCTTGCAGTTGTGGCAAGGTTTACCGCTAGCGAGGCAGAACTCTATTCCGTCTTTGTGCGGGAATTTACCTCCACAGTTACGACAGGTTTGGGACTTTCGACCGCTATCTGGAGCTTCTTTCTGGTATTTATTTCCTTGAAAACGCGAATCAGACTTCTTGGGCGTCCTGTATCTGGAATTTGATCCACCGGTAGTTGGAAATTTTCGATGTTGTTTTGAATTCTTTTCGTTGTAATTATAATTTGCCGTTTCGTTACTTTCGCTTTGGAACTTGCTGGCGTTATCGAGGCGTTTAGACTGTTCATCTGTACGTTCTAAGGTATTCCCGTAGTCGAGAATTTGTTTGAGAGTCATCGTCTCACGAAGCGCTTTCTTTCTTAACCGGGAATCGCGGGTTTTGAGAATAATTTGGGTTTTAATCTCGGCTTCCTCGTGAAAATTACATTGTACTGCTTTTGTCTTCAGTCGACGGTAGTATTCGTTGAGCGTTTCGTTGGATCCTTGCTTTAGCTCTCGAAAATCGAATATAGCCATGTCTGTATTTCCTTGAGGCACGAAGTGTTGGGTGAAACAGTCGATCGCTTCTTGATAAGTTGTGCCAGTGTCGGGGAGAATATCGAAAATGTCGTTGGCTGACTCGCCTACATAGGTTAACAATAAACCTCTCCTAACGGTTGAATCAAACTCACGAAGACTTATAAGCAAGTTTTCGAAACGACGAACCCATTTAGTCCATCGTTGACCCACTGTTGCTGTATCCTGGTGTAGATTAAAGGGAGGAAACGGCGGTAAACCACTGCGTGGAACTTGCGATGTTGTTGTCGCGTTTGTAGCGTTTGACGTTGTTGATGATGATGCGTTTTCAGCATTGTTATCTTGACCTTCGGTATCCATAATATAGATTTAGGGTTTTTCGGACCTCGTCGCCACTTTTATATCCTCCGTTACTCAACTTTTATAACAAATATTTACTCTGCTATATTATACATGTATACTTGCTCTCTGGCTTAGCGTCTCCTAATTTAATGTCTCGTGACCTAATCTTATATGTCAATCACTTCAGCTGACCAATCAGCATTTGGATACAACAAATTATTGGCAGTAAGCAATTTAAAAAACAAAACTGTATAATTTAATTGTTCCTAATAACATGTGCTTACACTTCATTATTATCATGATACATTTATACATTATACATCCTTACACCAAAAAAATATGCTAGTCAAGGGGAGAGTGCTGCCACTATGGTACATGATCTGATTTACCAAGACTATTGATCCTAGCTTCAAAATTAAGTGCAATTGTTTCATATTCAGGAACGCAATTGCATTACTAACTATAGCTGCTAAAATATATGTCAAACTACTATTAGCAAATTTCATCATAATTTCTCCAGACCAGTCGGACATCACCAATTCCAATGTTAGAAATGATGTAGCATTCTGCATTCATATCGTTAGTGTATCAGTGCATGACCAGCGCCTTGTGGGCAACATTTTTGTTCTTGCCATGTAACTATGACATCACACTTTGTAAAACTATGTATTTCTAAACAGACAATGGCAAAATGTTATCTATTTTTACCCCAAGACTCTTCCCTTCAGGAGTAAAACATCTGGATTTAGTCTCACAGAGTAAAATAAGAAAGTAGCTAGGTTTCATTTGGGCACACACAATGCAGCTTAATGGGCTGACTATATATCTCAGGGTCTGCTCATTGGCGGATAGCTATTGTAATTATCCCACTGCGTGGCAGCAGTGCGATCGCCCCTTAAAATTGTCTGGCATTGGACGCACAGAGCAAATAATAAAGACAGTCTTTAAGGCTTTTCCGGACAGGGCACATTGTCACATGTAGGTGGGCCTCCTCTAGTACCTCTACTCAACTCTGCGTCTGCATGGCGTTGTGCTTATCTATATATATATTAATCCTGCGCTATGATGGGCAAGTATATAAATTTCACATCATATTAAATCTTTATGAACATGTAAACAACCACAATTATAATATACAAGTATTTAAAAAACTGGCAGTCTGGCAATAAAACCACAAAGGCCAGTGCTGACACAAAACAACATAATTTCATGTACACAATATTTAATCATTGAAAATATTTTCATGTCCGCTATTGAAATATTTGCTGTATATACTAGAAATACATGCATGCAGCAACCCTTCGCATGCATTTTCCAAACATTGATTTAACATGAAGTATTAGTAATTGATTAACACTAACCTGCATGTGACTGAACGCAGGCTCGCGTTTACGTCAGTGTTGCCATGGCAACACGATAAATTTAATTTTTATTATATGTTTTGTACAACACGCCAAAAATAATTGAAAGATTGTTGCTTTTAACTATATAACAATGAATTTCCGAAATATGTACTGTAAGTATGTTCTGCATTTTGTCGGAGCTTTGATTTAATGTAAAATTTAACTATAAACTTTAATATTAAACTATAAAATGCTTTTTCCGATATAAAACTGTACGGGTTTTTATATAGTTTATAAAACAAAATAAGTTCAAATTGTTGAGTAATTTCAGTTCGGTTTTCAAATGAATTTGCTCTCCTTTACATTTTACCTTTTATTCTTAAATTAAACAGGGTAATTTAGCAAACTTTAATACAGCTTCATTGAAAAGGAAAGCAGTGCATGTAATACGCAATAAATTAAAGCAAAAAAATTCATAAACAATAAACATTCAAAGCAAACTTGCCCTATATTCCACGATTTTCCAGAGTAAATCAATTCTTCTCATTTCTTCAAACAAAAATTGCTTCAGAGCTTATTGTGTGAAACGTGATTTTCCAAATATATGCTTTTGAAAATTGAAATCTTAGCAATCTTGCTTATCCCACTCCTGGCAAACAGCCATATTTTTGAGATCAGTGAAGATGACCACCCACGGTTGGTGACCGACGCCCGCGCTCATTGATGAACTTTAGACTTGGCTAATGCTTCCGTTTCCCCGGGTGTAAAAAGCCGGCGGGAATTAGTACCCTCGCACGGCGCTTCGCGCCGTCGGCTCGAGGATTAGGATGACGAGTTTTTGAAATATTATAAAGGGTCTATATATAGTGACTGTAGTCATCTGGAAAGTTAAAAAAAGGTTCGTGAATCTTACTTGAAATAATTTCTTTGTAGTGAAGTGCTGCATCCGGCCCAAGCGAGACAAACCTGCACCCTTTCTCCGCGTTGTATTAAACAAGTAATGTGCGAGGGAAAAATTAATATATTTAGCTAAAAAACAACAGAAACTTAAAATATTTGTGCAAGAACCAGGGGTTAAGGACATCGTCGCAAGCTTTGGATCGCGGTTGGTCAGTGGCAGTTACCATGAAACTAAAGTAAGTGTTGTCACGGAAATGGCGTAAGATCCACCATGTTTTTGGCGACACTTTTTATGGAGAGCAGGTCCTCCAGTAATATAGTATATAGCTCAGTGGTTTTACCTATATAAACATGTCGTGAGTGACCAGCCTTTAAATAAAACTATCCAATCATATAATTTTACCATAGTAAATAAAAGATAACTAGCTTTAAACAAATAAAAAACAAATAAATATCTCATGTGAGAACCAAGATTTACTAAAATGTTGATGTACTTACCCCGTCTGTTTTACTGTCATTTGAAATTCCAAAATACGCGGGATCTGGATACATCACTAAATACAAAAGTATAAGAGAAATTCTACACGGAAAGAAACAAATATCGATTCTTGGAAAGATTTGTTGTCACGTGAGAGAAGTAAAATGCGCAGGTTGATTGATGTACGTTGGGGTTTTTAAAATACTTGCTGATCTATAATTGGCTTTGGCTGCAGGCTTGTCTGCAAAGCGTCTTCATGCCCGAGCTTTCTGTAGGGCCTATATATATTCCATTGCTGAGGTAGAAAACGATGTTTGCTCTTCGCAAACTTGCGCTTGATGTGATTTTCAACCCACATGGTGGCTCGAAACCTTTGATTTCAATATATTTGCTATTAATAATTTAGGATTTATAGTGAAAACAAGTAGCTACTGCATTTAAATATAAGTAGGGTATTCAGATTGTTTGAAATTATACATTTTTCATGTAGATGCAAATAAATTGAAATTACATACCATCCTCAAATTTCGTTTCCAACAAATTATTGCTTAGAGCTGAAAACGTTGGTCTGTGATCTGCATCTACCATTGTTAACTGAATAAGCACTTGAATTGATTCAGGAATTTTTGGATGAAGTTCGAGTCTGTTACCGTTAATGACCTGATGAAAGAAAAGGAGACGACTTTTTCTTGTCCGCTGAATTAAGGGAGCAGTCATTATTAATGCCAGGGGGGGGAAGATATTTCTAAACTCATGGTAAATTTTTCATGGCCCCTCATTCCTTCAAAATATTTTTTCATGGCCCCCCCTTTAAATATAATTAATTTTCATAGCCCCCCCCCCCCC